AGAGAGAGAGAGAGAGAGAGAGAGAGAGAGAGAGAGAAAGTTGATGAGCGAGAGAGAACGGGTGGGGGAGGGAGACAGAGAGAACGGGGTGATGAAATTATTTATCAACCGCATTTCGTAGAGTCTCGCCCTCTTTTCAATCGTGTAAGCTTAGATAGAGTGATCGCCTTCCCTCGTATATTTCTACCTTTGTGCCTACCGTTGCTTGCCACACGTGATCGCTTAAGCTCGCGGCTTTATCATTTTCGTATATAAAAGTAAAAGCCGATGAACGAAGATATTGAGAGTGAAAGCGAGAAACAATATGAACTTTTTTTATTGTCTCCTCGGATATTGTAGTTCGCAAGCTCCATAAATCATTAATAACACCTGAAGAGGGGAAATCCTAAAGTGTGAACATCATATTGCTAGCATTCTCAGAGCTTCCCACCCAATATCCTCTCGATTGTCTAACTGTACCCTGATCGACACGCCAGAGGGTATCAGGTAACCAACGGTCTCCACAACCGTAGACAACGAGGGTATATATAATATCAAGAGCTAATAATACCTGGTATTATTAGCTCTTGATAGGAACAATAGCTAACACACCCATGGACAGAATTCGATAGTGTACGTGTTACCGGCATTGTGTGAATCTAAGCTATTGTTTAGAATGCATAGTTATTCTATAGAATGTCTAGCATTTTTTGGCAAAGTATGAAATCAGCTTATTTCATTCTGACCTTATATACGTTACCTAGGGATTTTAATCTACAGAATACCTAGGCAATGTGCACAAATGATTTGATTTTATACGTTATCTTGAAGTTTTAGGCATTTTATAGAATACCTTAGTTACACTATGCCGGTAACTTACACATTATATTCTATCAAGAGTCGATAATTGAAAATTTGTTATTATGAACTATTGATTCTATAGTGTATATAACGCAGAACGTGGTCACGTGGCTGCGGCGTGCAACTGAACGGTGGCGCCGCCTGTGTGTGTAAAGTTTCATTAACAATGTAAGGAGCGGAGCGGGACTCGGGTGAGAAAACGGTTGTGAATTCCTGATACTTGTGACGACACGTAAAGACTTAGCGGAAGAACATATTGACGTTCACTGTGGTTCCCTCGTCGGGGTCCGTTGTCATAATGCGTGATAAATATTTGTGACTATGGCTATATCATAACTCTGAAAATGTCGCAACTTTTTCCCAACGACATTTCGCATTAAAATGGTCGACATTTCAGACTAATGACGTCATAACAATTTATGTGTACGATAACTGTGCTCCTGTAATATCTTGTTTTTGATGTTCGATATATATCTACTATTTTTGGCAGATGGGGAGAGAGAACTAGCACACGATTGTATATTTTAGTCTCTAGACTGCATACTTTGTTGTCGGAAAGCACATATTCAACGAGGTTATATTTGTTAGATGGAACACAGACAACGAAGATGATGACATCGAAAAGTGTTATCGTTTGATGTAATATATGAATGTTATACTGACTACATATACTGCATATACTGACTATATATATATATACATATATATACGCCTATATATATGTATATGGTCGCTGAATAAATCGTGGTGTGCACATGTAATGATCAGTATACTGTATTTCTATGCACTTGATATGGTCGCTATTACACATGAATAATTTTGCCGATAAAGTCGCTCCTGCTTCGTTTGAGAGTTTGCGCTGTTTGTGCTTCTGCCAAGTTTAAGTAGATGTAGTTATTAAGATAGCGGTGCGTAGCTAAGGAGGGCTGGCGGGACGGGGGAGGGCGGGAAGGGGCAGGGTAGGGGATAGAGGGCGAGGGGGGTAGGGAGGCGACAGAGGCTCTTTCACAAAGGCGACCCCCGCCCTCTCCCACCTTCAGGCTCACACTCACACTCAGGTTCTTTCTTACTCTCTAACCACGGTGCATCAGTAATGGTGCATCAGTAGGTACGAGTTTACCTGTAGGCCTAGAATGAGGTCGCGAGGTAAAATGCACGAGCTACACGCACGTATGCCATCATTGGCGAGCTATAGACGTGTGGGTGAGTAAGTAATTTGGCATTAACCTATAATAATTACAGCTAATGTGTTAAATGATCGAATTGCGACGCGTAACACGTGAAACATGCTACACGCACGTGACATAGAAATGCATGATATATATATATATATTATTATAATTATATATAATATATACTATATTTATCATATATATTATATACGTACGGCCGGTGTTAGAAACCACGCCACCCCGTAACGGTCGCCTATATAGTGCATGCACCACGTTACTGATTATATATAAGAAACTCACGCCTATTATGAGGCTTTGATCTGGTCGCGCAGTTTCGCGACACACGACGTCTGCAGACACGCGGTAAGCACTGATGACGGGGTTTCCGAGAAACAGGTAATAATAATAATAATAACGACGATTATTGGGTCGAATAGACGAAGTTTGGCGTGATTCGCGATGACATATCTGTGTATCGCATTAAATCACGTAATGTAGACGCCAGACTGATAGGGCTGTCCGTCCGGCAGGGGATGCAAGCGTGTCATGCTGTCTGTAGGGTAGGAGGGATTCTCTCTCTGTTATAATATCATGCTGGTGTGTGTGTATGTGTGTGTGTGTGTGTGTGTGATGTGTGTGTGTGTTGGTGTTGTGGTGGTGCTGTGTGTGTGTGGTGTGTGTGTGTATGTGTGTGTGTGTGTGTGTGTGTGTGTGTGGTGTGTGTGTGTGTGTGTGTGTAATGTGTGGTGTGTGTGTGTGTGTGTGTGTGCGTGCGTGCGTCGCGTGCGTGGTGTGGTGTGTGGGGGGGTGTAATGTGCTGTGTGTGTGTGTGTGTGCTGTGTGTGTGGTGTGGTGTGTGTGTGTGCACGCGTGCGTGTGTGTGTGTGTGTCATGAGAGAAGAAGGCGAAGTGAGTAAATAGAAGGAGTCATGCAACTTATTATACGACTGCTACTTTCGGTATTATCTCAGCTCGAGGGCGATCTAATTAAAACATCATTGCAAATACTTCGACAGGCTCAAAAAGCACGTACGCATCTTTAATCTATTAACACTGTGACGTACACTTTGTTAATTGTCAATTGTTTGAACGTACACCGCGATCACGTACAATACTTGTTGTATAGCATATGCTGACACGGGAGTATTGACGCCGCCGAGTGGGGGCGCGGCTTGTGCATGCGCTCCTGTCGCCCCTCCAGCGGATCTTGCGTTCACGGCGTCGCCTGCTGGAGCGGGTCGCTTGCCGACTGGACGACGGACCTTTCGTTGATCTCGATCGGCGATGAGTATGTCTAGAGCTCTATAGGGCGAATTGACGACAGATGAGAGAGAGCGGCGGAAAGACGTTAGTGCGAGTCTTGACGCAGATTGAATAGGTTGTAAGGATCTTTAGCAGAGATAAGTGCTTCCTCAAGATGATCCGCTCTAACTGTCTCGCGAAATCCATTTTCTTATACTGTCGGAGGGCCGGTCGCTTGCCTCAGTGGGCGACGTGGGCGTGTGAGATTCGTATCTTTCCGTCGCACCAGGTGAATAATGGGGGAATCGCTGTCGGTGAAATTGTCGCGCCGTGGCGTGTTCGTCGGCTGCGCGTCAATGCCGGCGAGATGCGCGCGGGGAGCACAGAACACGCTGCTGACATCTCCGTAGTCGTTCTTCGATGCTAGCAGAAGCCGACTCACAGCTGCGTCGGCGTGAAGCACGATGGTACACGGACGGATGTCTGGTGGGTAACCTAACCCCATCCTAACTCCAACCTAACTAACGCCCTAACCATGACCTCACTCTCTGTGACCGCGCCTTAATACACGCAACCTAACATGCACTAACCATGCTAGCCTAACCTAACCAACCTCAACACTGTGAACCCTAATGACCTACAACCAACGATACTCTCCGGCATAAGCCACGCCTTACGACCCTTAACCTGATAGCCCTAATTAGCTATACCCTTAGTTTGAGTGCGCCCCCCGTCCACCAGCCACCACACCCCATCACCATTACCCCGGTAATTGGTATGGCGGCCGCAAATTATTTTACATGGCGAGTTAGAATTCAATCTCTTCGAGATTTTAATTTCATCGTATCTTGCGATTGTTTCGTGCGTTGCGCGGTAGGCAGCCACGTCGCGAAGTGACACCGGCAACGACGCGTCACCTAAACACTCAGAGCGGCGTGAAGCCGAGCAGCTGACGAACAATGATCGATGCATGGAACGAAGGGGGACGAAAACATTAACAATAAAAAACAACCGCAAATACCCAACGGCAACGACGAAAACGAGGAGATCAAAGAAACCTTTAAATAAACAACCATAAATAAAAAAAACATGAATAAAAAACCTTTAAAAAAATGAATAAAAACCCTTAAATAAAAAAACTTTAAGTAAAATAAACCGCTCGAGTTGCTTCTCGTGTTTTTCTATGCCTAGCGTCGTGACTGACGGTTAGGCCGACGTTTTGTATGGCTGTCTTGTATCTAGTTATTTATGACGTCGTGTCGTCGTCTCGTCGTCGTCGTGCGCTCGCTCATCGTCGTCGAGTGCGTCGGTGCGGTGTCGCGTCGTCGTCGCTAGTCGTCGTGCGTCGGTCGTCGTCGTCGTCGTCGCGTCGGCGTCGGTCGTCGTCGTCGTCGTCGTCGTCGTCGCGCGGCGCGGCGGCGGCGCTGCGG